TATATTAAATTTTCAATACATTTAAAAATAAAAATTCATTTGAAATTTCCCTAAATTTTCCAATTAGGGCTTTCCCTACCGGCTCCTACATGGGGAATGCGTTACATTTCCAATAGGGAACCAGTTGGGTATCCCATTTGGGACCCTATTTGAATATGGGAAAACCCAGTCGGGACCCAACCGGTTCCCAAAAATTAATTCTACTCGGGGACTAGGCTACAGCATCAGTTGCAACAGAACGTCTTCTTTTACATGAAATCTATTTGATCTATTTGCAAGTTTAAAAAATTACAAAAATAGAGTTTTATTAGGAAGTTTTACGAGCACGTAGGCCATTCTATTACATCAAATATCAAGAGGCGGTGTCATCTAAGGCACTAAGGGCCAGACAAATGATTGAACTTAGGAAAGTTCAATGTCTAGTAAAGACACAGGCTGACTACCTCCTGAACAAGATTAAGAAATATCTATTTGAGAGAGAAACGAAACTTGCACTTGACTTCATTGAGAAATTGAAACAGTTCTGCGAAGTGAAAGAAAAGAAGGTTCTTCCCCTTAGAGAGAAATATCTCTTAGAAATGTATGAGCTTGCCAGTCAAGTGTACCTAGATATGAAACGAATAACGCCAGGACAAACTGAAGCTGATATTAACAGAAGAATTCTGTTCACGTTTGGATTGCCGCTAAGCAGAGTCCCTTCGACCGATTCTGTTGTTGAACAGATACAACAATTCCATGTAGATTACAAGTAAGCATGTAACTTATCGTACAATTTATTTGTACTTCAATAATACGCAGTATGAATCAAGTATCGTCACAATTCAAAACCCACTGGTCCGTCGCTATTTGTATTTTTTATTTATGTAATTACGTTTAGTTGTTAGTTATTATTCATGTATTATTTAATATATTAGACTAATTTATCTGCATATTTCAGTAAGCTCTTTCAAATAATTTTTATTCGTAATATTCAAATTCCAGGTAGTTGCAATAATGTCATTTAAAACCATTTAGGTTGGACTTTCCAAATTTCAAGTAAGATGCGTATAGTTCAATATTTGCCATTGTCATACATCTCAGAAATTCATCTATTACTGTTACTACCCGCATTCCAATCTTATAATAAGTTGTTGTAAAGTTTCTTGTTTGTATACAATTTATTTGAACAGCAATTTAAAATATCGAGGTAGCAGTTCTGAAGCATCAGTTGACAACGAGAACTCAATTCATAAACATTAAGATTCAAAAATAATTCATTTTACTTTCAATTTGTGGTTCTTAAATTTAAGCTAGTTAATTTCATAGTTAAGTGTACATATTTATCTTGTGAACTCCATTGTTCGATCCTTTATATATTAAAGTTTTCTACAAGAAGCGGACTTTAATTATTTTAAAGGAAACAGCATAAATTAGCTGTACAATATTAATTTTGGCGTACAGCAGAAGTTAGGATTTTCCGTTCTACTTCACCAGCNGCGCAGTCACATTATGTAATTGTCATACTTTGTCGACAGTGAGCGTCCATTTGTAAAAATAAACTGCTGTTTTGTTCGTCGTACTCCCTCATCCTATACACCCACGAGCCGCCAGTGTTATATAGATCTCACATCTACTCCGTTGAACGTGATCGTGAAGTATTACATGCAATTAACATGCTAATAATAGCCATAAGTTTAGTTTGAGTGGATAAAAGCATGATATATTGGAATAGCTTCATTTTAATTAAATGGAAGTTTCTCAAAGGGTAACAGCTTAAATCTTTAACGATCGGCTCGTTTATTACTGCAAATCGACTTTGTGGCGTCGCATCTACATCGTCTATCTCGGAAAATGATTTAACGTAAAAATGTAGCAGAGCATTAGGTACATATAAAACGATCGGTATCAATATATCGAGCAGCGGAAAACTTATAAATCTCCCAAGACACATACTTATCACCTTTAAACTTACCCTCGTCCATCATACACTTTCCTCGTAAGTTTTTGCGGTGGTTTACATTTAGCAACCATATTATACTCAATATTGACTAGGGAATTCTGAAATTGGTCCGTCGCTATTTGTATTTTTTATTTATGTAATTACGTTTAGTTGTTAGTTATTATTCATGTTTTTATTTAATATATTAGACTAATTTATCTGCATATTTCAGTAAGCTCTTTCAAATAATTTTTATTCGTAATATTCAAATTCCAGGTAGTTGCAATAATGTCATTTAAAACCATTTAGGTTGGACTTTCCAAATTTCAAGTAAGATGCGTATAGTTCAATATTTGCCATTGTCATACATCTCAGAAATTCATCTATTACTGTTACTACCCGCATTCCAATCTTATAATAAGTTGTTGTAAAGTTTCTTGTTTGTATACAATTTATTTGAACAGCAATTTAAAATATCGAGGTAGCAGTTCTGAAGCATCAGTTGACAACGAGAACTCAATTCATAAACATTAAGATTCAAAAATAATTCATTTTACTTTCAATTTGTGGTTCTTAAATTTAAGCTAGTTAATTTCATAGTTAAGTGTACATATTTATCTTGTGAACTCCATTGTTCGATCCTTTATATATTAAAGTTTTCTACAAAAAGCGGACTTTAATTATTTTAAAGGAAACAGCATAAATTAGCTGTACAATATTAATTTTGGCGTACAGCAGAAGTTAGGATTTTCCGTTCTACTTCACCACCCACGAAACGCATATCGATCAACTAATTTTCAGCTATTTACGATACAATTTAGGATTTTTAGTCTAGTATTTATCTTAATTTACAGGAAAGAAATTGCTAAGACAGAAATTCGGTTAAAGAAGGCCGTGAAATCCGAAGAAATTACATGGCTGTATCATGAACTTGCCCGATTCCATTCGGAAGTGAAGCAACCAGAACTAAGTAAAGTGTATGCAAGAAAGTGCGTTACTGAAAGTAAAAAGATGGAACATCTCATCTGGCAAATTAACGGCATGTTTCTCATTGTCAAAGTTAATATGCAGTGTCACAACAGAAATGATGCTAAGAACGTTCTTAAAGAAACGATTGAAGTATCCAGAGAATTGGGTAATGAAGGACTTACGACATACCTTGAAAAGGTAATTACGTTGCTTTACTCATATTAAAGGATCCTAACACATGAAACCGACTTTTAACTTTGTTCGTTAAACACAATATTATAACCTTTTCTACTTAATTTAAATACAGTAGAACCTCGATAAGATAAAGACCAAGAAAACGTAAAATAATTTGAGTTAGTCAGGTTTTTACTTACTAAGGTTTTAAATTTAAGCTTTAAAATTACGGATTTCCAGTGACTTAGCAAAGACTTCAGCTTTTTCCTTTAGTATAGGTCCACTAACGCTAATAATTCTATTTCTACACTGTCTAAACTATGTTAACAAGAAGCATTTTCTATATTAATATTAATGTCCTTATGTAAAAAGGGAGTATTCCCGTTTATTGAATAAATTATTATTATTGTTATTATTATATTAAGAAATTCAGCAATTCTTCGTCTTTTACATGGAAGACTTTCTCCCGATTCAAACCACTTTTCACTGCTTACTGAGGTGCGATGCTCAAATTATTCGTTTAAGTTATAGAAGGTTTTTATTTTAAGTAATAGAAGTTTTGGACAAAAACACAAAATTTTATGAATTTATAGAGATTATTACGTTATCTAGGTTTAAGTTATCAAGGTTCTACTGTACCATTAAGGTTGGATCTACACTATGAGATTATCAAATGAAAAACAATGTGTGCATTCATATTATCTGTAACAGTCAAGTTCCGGTCGACTCCCATTCCAGTCGCGATCAGTCTTGAAGAAACTTTGTTTTAGCGAGATCGAACTTGTCACGAAATGAATCGATAGTATGAATGCTCTTTCGTTCCCGGTTCAGTCCGCTATTACCCGTTGAAGCGACAATTGCATCAAATGTAATTAATGTTTCTCCTTCCGTTTTGCGTTGCAGTAAACTTGGATGCACCCACATTCTTCTCCTTGTTTCATATTTTCTTCTTGCGTTGATAATATTATCTTCTTCGTCAAGAATAAAAGATATAACAGCTAATTCTTCAATCCAAAAGTTTAATGACATATTACAAGATATTAAATACTCTAAGGTTTATTTTATTATTAATTATGAGCCAAATACATCCGACTTCGATTAAGACTGAATCGTAAACTGATTCAGATTGTCTAATGTGAACATGATTATATTTTATCAGTCCGAGATCGGCCCGCGAACGAACCGTGATCGACCTTATAGTGTGATTCCAGCCTAATACGTCCATATTCATTGTCAGAGTCAATTGTTTGCTTACATCCTTCGTACTACCCCTAGAGTTTTGATGTCATTGAAACGGCTGATTTTGAAGATGTCATGGGTGCAAAGGTAATTGAAAAACGTGAGAAACTGATATCCCAATTGGTGGCACCAGCTGGTTTAAGAGACGAAGCTGCGTTCTTGTTCAGACAAATGTCTGTTATGCCGGCGTCTCGACGCCTTTCCGTCATGCCCGGCGTCCGACCCGAAGATACTAAACAACGCAAGGTAATGAACTATAATTCTAGCCCGATCTCAAATTTTTGATTCAAAATGTGACAAACTAAACTAATAGAGAACATTGCTAACCAGGAGGTTAATGTTCTTTGTAGTCCATATTAATTTACAATTCCTAAGGAAATTATTCTTTATGAAAATTAAATTCCATATGAATAACTTGAAATTAAATTAGACTTCTTCGCATTTTTACTTCACTTTATAGAGGCATATGTTTTATGTGACACGCATATTAAACAGGTCGAAAAGCTATTGTTTAGTGTACAGTCGAAAATGGCAAATGTGGATTGCTAGTTGGAACTGCTTGGTTCTCATCAGCACACCACTTTGTATATAGCGGTGTGATGCAGATAACTACGCTATTATTAATTTGAAAAGTTGATATCTTTAATTAGAAAGGAGTCTAGTTGAATATTAGTGAATAAGTAGGTAGCAAATCTCTACAAATGGCCTTTACTACATCTTTGGTATTTATTTAGTAAAAAAAGTTTAACAAAAAAGATATTTATGACAGATGTCTTCTAGAATACGAATCAGAAAATGGAGGCAATTTACTTTATCATTTGTACTAATCAACCCCATTAGACAATGCTACTTTATAAAAAGGTTACCCTTTATATCCATCGGTAAAAACGGCCCTGTTAATTTGAAAACGAATGGCGGTAATATAAACGAAAAAGTGCTTGACAAATCGCGTTAAGTAAAAACTCAGACTCAAGGCATAAATGGTCCCATCGAAAGGGCGAAAGAAAGACGAATAACGGTCAGAGCTTAGAGTACGCAAACCACAATGTGAGCATTTTTTACTTGAGCTTGACTCGAACAGTGACTTAGATTTCGAAATAAATTGGCTCCGGAACTTGCACGTGTGATCGCTCAACTGGCGAAAGAATGAAAAGAAGGTCTCTAAAGGGCATGAAAATAAATGTTCAGAATTTTTTGGTTTCACATTCAGCCCTCACTGTCTTTCTTTCGTAGTTTTTTTTATCAAGAATGATTCGATGCGGAAATTATATAGATAGATATATACCACTACAGGCATATTTTTTTCTATTAGCTATTCAGACTGGAGTAGGTTTGCATTACTACAAAAAATTCTTACAACCTGGTACAATTTTATAACAAACAAGTAACTTTTTAAGCAACTAATTATTGTAAGTTAAAGAAAAAATATAAATCCTTATATTTATGATCAGAATTACTTAAAAAAATTATTATTAGTACAAACCCTTTCTGAAATAGTTTGTAAAAATGAAGATTTCTTATCTTTAAAAATTAAGCTATTACATTATTAGTAACTATTATTCACTCATTATAGTTACGAATTAACTAAATAGCTTCATGAGTAAGAAAATATCATTATTTATTTGTTATTTTTGATACTCTCATAATCTATGGGAAAAAATATGCTCTGAATTAAAAATATAATTTTAAATGTAGTGGGGAATTCAACCCCTTGCATTTTGCACTGCAGCTTTTACTTTAAAATTGTTCTCATTCTCGGTAAGTAATTAATGTAATTTTAACGATGAAAACTGCAATAAATCATTAGGTAATATAAACTGGAATAACTCAATTTAAAAGGGAATTTCTAATTTGAAACAAGGATGCTGGTCCTACATGTATTGCATGCTATAAATAAATGACAAGTTGGAGTAGGGATGTAATATTTAACGTTCAAAGTCGGTGTTGATTGGTTAGAATATCGGGCAGCGACTGACTGCCTATCAAACGCCATAGAATCGACCGCTGTATATGATCGGACATCGGAGAAAATGTGGAAAATTAACGAGTTTGGCGCAAGCTGTTCCTGACACTAGCTAAAATACATTTAGTGTGTGTGAGTGGTGAACGTATCGGATTACGTGACAGATACAGTTACGCGCAAGCATGCGGAAGACATCGGCAAAGCTTCGAGCTTTCGTTAAAATTGGAATTCACACGTTTCTTACTGCACGGCCGCGATATCGTTCTGAAGCTTCGAAGCAAACAGACTATTGCTGATCGGATACCTAACAAAAGACTTAAAGCCAACGTACCTATAAGAGGATTCTAGGCGGCACTTTTACAATACCTACCTTATTTTGTTGAATTATCTGACTGAAAAAGACGATTCAAACTACTGTCGACAGAAATTTCTCCTTTGAGATACATTTATTCTGATGAAAAGGTTTAATCATAAACGGTTATAAAGTTTGTGAATTTAGTTCGTTACTTTAAAATCTTTAGCAATAGTCAGTTGTGCAAATAGACGATGCTCCTCTCCAAGGACTAGAAAATTTTCGCGCAAAAGTAACGAAAACAAATGCTTTTTAATGACTCGCGATTTAACTAAACCTGGGCACACCGCGTGACCTGTCGTCCCGCACGCGTTTTTAATGAACATAGAATGCCAAGATTTTAATTTATTTAGTGCATATGTATCTGCAGCCTACCCAAACACTACTTTTAAAGTATATTTATTATAAAATCCTTCTATTATTCAATGGTGAATAAGTAAAAAAAAATTTTTTTTTGCAATTTTGTTGTATTATTTGTCCAAATTAGTAGACTTCCAATTTTGACCCTTTTTACATAGTAATTTATTTGGACAGCTTCCAAACAGCATTATGGTATACTGAAAAAAAATACTTCTAAAGCCTGTGGCCAAAGCTCCTGCCACTGTGATATCCTAACTAACTACGCTGAAGGGGTACAAATCCTGTAGAGCTTTATATACGGCGTATAAATTCAGTGACCACCCCAACACATAAGGTCATTATTTACCGCGCTAGAGAACACCGTTATGCAATATATTAGGAACGGGGGAATAACATAACACGCCCGTTTATCACCGACCGTTGTTTCTATGTAAATTGGCCTTTCGAAATATATGAGACCGGAAAATTTTATATTTACATTAAACCATGAAAGTTCTTGCAGAGATAATGCAAAGGGTGGAGATGTGGCAACAAAACTTTAATTGCAAGCCGTCCCGTTTAGTCGGCCTCTCAAATTAGGACCACTTTATACGTAAATTAGATAAATATATTATCACTTGGTTATCTCTAAAATATGAGTTGTACGTCATGTTTTCATTAAAATAAATAATAGATCAGCAGAAGGTTGCGGAATGAAAATAAAATCCTATAAAGTATACGTATACCTAACTATGTAGTGTTCCGTCTCTAAAAAGGCATAATGATTCTAATAAATTTATATTGAAGTGAAATAGACGACGGGGTATTACGATTTTTTCTGTTACGAAAAAAAATCAGTTGTCTATAAAGTCGGTTTACTGACGATAGTTGAACGTGACAACGTCATAAGAAAATACTGATGGAATGATTTCGTTTTTTCAAAAGAAAATTTTAATTTTATTTGTTTGATAGATATTTTGTAAGGATATAGAGGAGGTAAATGGAAATGTATTATTGTATAGCAGCTGTCCACGCGGACGCATCGCTCACTCAAGTAGGAGAGAGGCAGATATCGAACGCTGCCGAACGCGGAGGCCGATTGTGCCTCTTTGTCGCTCGTTCCGCGCTCTCGCTTGCACTTCAAGCCTATAATTGGAACGCCTCAGAGCGAGGTAACGCCGCATGAGTCATGTTTTTTCGTGGGTGAGCC